CTATGAAGCTGCTTTCAATGCATAGTGCGGATTGGGCCTTATGCCCCGAGATCCACCCCGAGCCATTCTCCACCCAACCCCATGCAGCCCTGCGGCTCTCCTTGCAATACCAGATCCCAGTCTTCCATCAGGTCCGGGAGGGTGGGAGCCGCAGTCCTGAAGGGGGACACGGGGGGATCCCCGTCCCTGCCCCGCCGACCCCTTTTCCCTCCCACCGGCCCGCGAGATTCTCTTACCTGCCAGCCAACAGCCTCCCATCCGCGTCGCCGCGAAAACGCCTTTGCCTTCGCTTTTCAAATCTGCCCTCCCGAAGCCCTATTGGCTGCCGCCGCGTTCCAAGCGCGCCTCCTAATTGGTTACCAGAAGCCAGCACCTCCGCCTCCCCTTCCGAAGGAGCGGGTCTCCCGCTTTCTCATTGGCTAACGGAAGGGCCTCTCGCGCGCCTCTCCTGCCCTTTGCATTGGTGAGGTTTCGAGCATGCGGGTTAGGAAAGGGGGCGGGATTTGCAAAGGTGAGGAAAGGGTACCGATTGGCTGCTTCCCTGCGCCCTGGACGATGCTCGCTCCCGGTTGGTTAAAGTCGGGAGACGGCCGGGCGCAAGCTTAGTGGTTGCGAGGACCTTGTCAATCTCCCCCCCCCTATCAAAGCCGGCCAATCAGAAACGAGGAGGAGCAACGTAGGGAGGGATATGTCGGCCATTTTGTGAAACGACAAGCATTGGGAGACGTGAGCCGAAAGAGGGATGGAGGGCCGCCAGGCAACCAGTGTACAAAGAGCGGCCAATGGTCTTCCGCTAGGCGCAGTCCACCAATTACGGACGAAGGTGGAAGTAGGCGGGTCAACGCGCAAGTGATGGACACTTCAGTTGACCAATCACGCGAAAATAGAATTGGAAGAGTTGGAAGGGCCACCCAAGGATCATCTAGTCCAACCCCGAGCAATGCAGGAATCAGAGAAACAAAGTAAAGCTTTGCACAGCTAACCAATAGGATTAAGTAGAGGAACAAAAGACTTAATTCTGCTTTCATAACGATTGAGGTTAGAGAAAGATCGTCAGTAAAAATCAGAAAGGAGCAGACCGGGGCGTTGCTGTTCCCCGGCCAGCGGAGACTCTAATCATGTCTCATGCGCTCTCCGTTCATCATGTTCTGTTCTCCCGGAGGAGGAACAGGTAAGGATATACCTCACTGACGATAGCGAGCACGTCTGGACGCCGGGGGCGTCATCTTGCGCACAGCCTCTCAGGTCACGGTGAGCAAAGTGAGCTGTCTTGGAAACTTTCGGCGAGAGATTAAAACGCCTCCCGCTGCGGCATTCTGCACCGTTTCCCGCAGCGAAGTTCTTTGTGCAGAGCGGCATATAAACAACCCGGCCGAAGAGCCGCCTGCTGTCCCAGGGTGCCATGCGCCAGTTAATTTGCATGGGGCGGTGACGTCGCTCGAGAAGGTACGAGGGCAGCCTTACCGTATTTACTGGGAGGAGCCGGGCAGAGCCAGGGGCCTAAGGAATTTTGTTTTTTGCAAATAACTTTAATTTTCATTAATAACACTCCAATTGATAGAATGTCAAATCTTGCCCCATCATAATACAAATAATAAGCCCAATTATACATTCCAAATTATATATTTTAAAAAAGGCTTCCCATGTTCTGGTCAGCAGAAAATTTTATATTTATAGTTCCTGCTTTTTCTCGTTTATACCCAATATCATAGTTCCGATCTTAATCCTTTATCTAAGGGGCCTCTGGAATTTTGCACGCTGCACCAATTAAAAACAATGGATTTGATAATAACCATTTGAGACTATGGAGCTTTTAACTTTAGCTGGTTTTATTTTGAATTTTTTGGGGAGGGGGGGCAGGGGACAACTCTCCTCATCTTCCTATTTGCCAGAGACCCTTAAGAAAGATTCTGTGGGGATGCCGTCTAATTAATGTCTAGGATGCAATGGTCTCCAGATATTTATTTTTATTTATTGCATTTATAGGTAAAGGTAAAGGGACCCCTGACCATTAGGTCCAGTCGTGGCCGACTCTGGGGTTGCGGCGCTCATCTCGCTTTATTGGCCGAGGGAGCCGGCGTACAGCTTCCGGGTCGTGTGGCCAGCATGACTAAGCCGCTTCTGGAGAACCAGAGCAGCGCACGGAAACGCCATTGACCTTCCCGCCGAAGTGGTACCTATTTATCTACTTGCACTGGCGTGCTTTCGAACTGCTAGGTTGGCAGGAGCAGGGACCGAGCAACAGGAGCTCACCGCGTCGGGGGATTCGAACTGCCGACCTTCTGATTGGCAAGCCCTAGGCTCTGTGGTTTAACCCACAGCACCACCCGCGTCCCATTGCATTTATAACCCACCTTTTATTCCAAGGATCTAGAGGTGGTGTGCACAGTTCTCCTCCTCCTTCTCATTTAATCTGCACACAACAACGCTGTGAGGTAGGTGAGAGAGGCAGTGAAGGGCCCAAAGTCACCCAGTGAGCTTCATGACCAAGCAGGATTCGAACTCAGGTCTCCCAGGTCCTAGGTCCAGCATTTACTCCAAATCATCCCCAGCCAACATGACCAGCGCTAAGGGAGAGCACCATGTTAGCTACCAGTGTTGTGTGAGAGATGGCAGACTCCACACATGCCCTACACGTTGAACCCCGTGTCCTATCCTGCTTCTGTTATTACTACATTGCATTGCATTGACTTTGAATTCTACGGGAACACCAAGTTGTAAAACAATAAAATGCATTGCAATAAAAAAAGCCATTAAAGGTAAAGGGACCCCTGACCATTAAGTCCAGTTGTGACCGACTCTGGGGTTGAGGCGCTCATTTCGCTTTCCTGGCCGAGGGAGCCGGCATACAGCTTCCGGGTCATGTGGCCAGCAGGACTAAGCCGCTTCTGGCGAACCAGAGCAGCGCACGGAAACGCCGTTTACCTTCCCACCGGAGCGGTACCTATTTATCGACTTGCACTTTGACGTGCTTTCGAACTGCTAGGTTGGCAGGAGCAGGGACCGAGCAACGGAAGCTCACCCCGTCGCGGGGATTCGAACCGCCGACCTTCTGATCGGCAAGTCCTAGGCTCTGTGGTTTAACCCACAGCGCCACCCGCGTCCCAAAGAAGCCATTAAAATACAGTTAAAAACCACGCAGCATCTAGCACATGAGTAGGCAAACTAAGGCCCGGGGGCCAGATCCGGCCCAATCACCTTCTAGATCCAGCCTGCAGACGGTCTGGGAATCAGCATGTTTTTACATGAGTAGAATGTGTCTTTTTATTTAAAAGGCATCTCTGGGTTATTTGTGGGGCATAGGAATTCGTTCATGTTTTTTTCAAAATATAGTCCGGCCCCCCACAAGGTCTGAGGGACAGCGGACCGGCCCCCTGCTGAAAAAGTTTGCTGACCCCTGATCTAGCACAACACATCACAAGCCCCTCCACCCCCTGCAAAGCTATTGCAAAAAGAATAGTCATCACCAACATATTTATCATAACCTACCTCGCAGGGTTGTTGCAAGGATGAAACAGGGAGGAGAGTCATGTGTGACACCTTGATCTCCTTGGCAGATAAATAGGGTATATATATGTAATAATTAAATTTGGTCTCCCAGCCTTTTTCCAGGGTCTTTGGGGCAGAAAAAGGGAGGCTTGGCCTATTCATTGCATCCTCATAGCAGCCTTCTGGCATTATCCTGAAATGTCCCAACTGGACCCAGTGAACTTCTTCATGGCTGGGCAGGAATTTGAGCTCCAGTCTCCATAGCCCTTTTAATGAACCTTTAAAGAACCATTTAATGAAGGTGAAAGAGGAGAGCGCAAAATATGGTTTGAAGCTCAACATCAAAAAAACGAATATCATGGCCACTGGTCCCATCACCTCCTGGCAAATAGAAGGGGAAGAAATGGAGGCAGTGAGAGATTTTACTTTCTTGGGCTCCATGATTGCTGCAGATGGTGACAGCTGCCAGGAAATTAAAAGACGCCTTCTTCTTGGGAGAAAGGCGATGGCAAACCTAGACAGCATCTTAAAAAGCAGAGACATCCCCTTGCCAACAAAGGTCTGTATAGTTCAAGCTATGGTTTTCCCAGTAGTGATGTATGGAAGTGAGAGCTGGACCATAAAGAAGGCTGATTGCCGAAGAATGGATGCTTTTGAATTCTGGTGCTGGAGGAGACTCTTGAGAGTCCCATCGACTGTAAGAAGATCAAACCTCTCCATTCTGAAGGAAATCAGCCCTGAGTGCTCACTGGAAGGACAGATCCTGAAGCTGAGGCTCCAGTACTTTGGCCACCTCATGAGAAGAGAAGACTCCCTGGAAAAGACCCTGATGTTGGGAAAGATGGAGGGCACAAGGAGAAGGGGGCGACAGAGGACGAGATGGTTGGACAGTGTTCTCGAAGCTATCAGCATGAGTTTGACCAAACTGCGGGAGGCGGTGGAAGACAGGAGTGCCTGGCGTGCTCTGGTCCATGGGGTCACGGAGAGGCGGACACGACTAAATGACTAAACAACAACTCCATGGGTCCAGTCCAGTCTATTATCTATTGTCCTAGCCATCTTTCCCACAGGCCGGAAGATGAAGTCTCTAGCCTCATATACTTGTTTAACTTGGCCATAGCAGCCAATGCAAGGAGGGGGAGATGAGTCAGTCGATATCACCCTCCTCCAACCTGCAGCTCTCCAAATGTTTTCAACCGCAGCTGATCTACATAAACCAACAGACTTCATCAACACTACAGTGGTACCTCGGGTTAAGAACTTAGTTCATTCCGGAGGTCCGTTCTTAACCTGAAACTGTTCTTAACCCGAGGTACCACTTTAGCTAATGGGGCCTCCTGCTGCTGCTGCACCACCGGAGCACGAATTTCTGTTCTCATCCTGAAGCAAAGTTCTTAACCCGAGGTACTATTTCTGGGTTAGCGGCGTCTGTAACCTGAAGCATCTGTAACCTGAAGCGTCTGTAATCCAAGGTACCACTGTACTTTAATGATTGCAATCCAAGTGGGGAATTCATAAGAAGGATGCTATTTTATTCAGGTAAAAAAGTGTAATAAATCCTCATACAGCATTCTCTAACTACAATCAAATGTCCTGAATGAATTTTACACACCCGTTATGCCCCCTTAGTCCCTTTTGCAGGGCGGCCCATTGGGCTACAGGCTTGGGCTTCGCCATTTCTTCTGAAGCAGGCGTTTTGGCACCGCAGATGCCTGACCGGAAGCACGTGTGAATAAACGCGTGGCTTTGTGCAGCAACAGGGCGCTGTTACCACGATTACCGCTGGGGGGAGGCAGCACGCAGCGCAGGAGACGGATCTGTGTTGCTGGAACTGTGGGTGGCGGCTGGCAATGTGATACCAGAGAGGGTCAGAGCCCTCGAACAGGTGGCTCGTTCATCCTACCTGTTCTCCCCAATTGCGCTCAGTCTCTATTTCCCCGTGCCAGCGCAGCTTGGCTCTGCTCAGTTGGTTTTCTCGCTCATCTGGAGTCGCCCCCAACAAACGTCTCCTCCTGGGGCGACAGGGGGCTTCACAGGGGCTTCTTCTTCAAGCCCAAGACTGAGATGAAAAGCAGTATCTCCACAGCGGCAGGCAAGGCGCTGTCAGGGGGTGAAGACAGACAGAGAGAGGGGAGGGGGTCAGTGCTAAGGAGAAGGGCTTCCCCCTTCCTGGGGGGAGAATAACAATGGCTGGGGAACAAACATATGAAACACACACACATAAAAACATAGGAAGGTTCCTAACATGTTAGGAATCATGTTAGGAATCAAGGAGTCAAGCCAGAAGTTGCAAAAAGACGGCTTGCACTCGCTACGAAGAATTGTATTTGAAAATGCTTGTTTTTGAGGCTTTTTTCATTTTCATTGCTGATATGCTTTTTAAAAAAAATATTCTGATTATTTGATGTGTGTATATGTAAAATCAAAATAAATAAAAAATTTAAAAAGGAAGAAAGAAAAGAAAACATAGGAAGGGCCTACTGCCCATCTAGCCCAGAATCCCGTTCTCAAGGTGGCAGCTAAATGCCTGTGGGAAGCCCACAGCACACACAACATAACAGGCTGTTTTGGACTATGTAACTTCTATTTCTAACACAATTCAACATATAATATCTCACAACGTGTAATTCCATAGACCAACACATCATGCAAACAGAACATATCCTGAAAAATTAAAGTCCAATGGATGGTCAGGAGATAAAGTCCATTCAGTTCCTAAATAAGATATCGTGCCATCCCTACAAGTTTTCCATCTGATATGATAATCTACATACAAGGAACGTTAGAATCCTCAAAGCAGTGACACGTGGAATACCATATAAGATAAGCATACCATATTGTGGTTATTGCCAATATGCTATGCTAGTTTAGGAACTGAATGGAATTTATCTCCTGACCATCCATTGGAACGCATGCAATTCCCCCTAAAAAAAGCTCAACAACTTTGGGCCATCTCCCCTCATTTTCTTTAAATTTAAGGTAAAGGTACCCCTGCCCATACGGGCCAGTCTTGACAGACTCTAGGGTTGTGCGCTCATCTCACTCTAGAGGCCGGGAGCCAGCGCTGTCCGAAGACACTTCCAGGTCACGTGGCCAGCGTGACGAAGCTGCTCTGGCGAGCCAGCGCAGCACACGGAACACCGTTTACCTTCCCGCCAGTAAACAGTCCCTATTTATCTACTTGCACCCAGGGGTGCTTTCGAACTGCTAGGTTGGCAGGCGCTGGGACCGAGCAACGGGAGCGCACCCCGCCGCGGGGATTCGAACCGCCGACCTTTCGATTGGCAAGCCCTAGGCGCTGAGGCTTTTACCCACAGCGCCACCCGCGTCCCCTCTTTAAATTTAGTCCCCCCAAATAGGGGGTGTCTTATACATGGGGGCAACTTATACACGGAAAAATGTACAGTGGTACCTCGGGTTAAGTACTTAATTCGTTCTGGAGGTCCATTCTTAACCTGAAACTGTTCTTAACCTGAGGCACCACTTTAGCTAATGGGGCCTCCCGCTGCCGCTGGAGCACGATTTCTGTTCTCATCCTGAAGCAAAGTTCTTAACCCGAGGTACTATTTCTGGGTTAGCGGAGTCTGTAACCTGAAGCGTATGTAACCTGAAGCGTATGTAACCTGAGGTACCACTGTATGGTATATCCACACATATTCAGAACTAAGAGTCTACCTGCAGAAGCCCATGATGTACCAGTACGTGACCATCTCCCAGCGCTCAAAGACGAAAAAGGAGAGGCAGATGGAGGCACTGCAGTGGGCAGCCAGAGCTAGTGGGGAACAGTCAGGGAAACCGGTGTCGTAAAGTGAGGCCTGCAGTAGCAGGCAGCTCCACATGACCTGGACCTCTTGCACAGAAAGGTGCCAGACATTTTGCGCCTGGGGGTGAACTGGGAGAGAGAAGAAACCATCCTGACACCAAGAATGAGAGATCAGCCACTCCCCTCTCTGAGCATTTGCTGGATCAAATGTGATTTAGGTCACAGGGACCCACTCCCCAATAGTCACGAGCTGGGGCAATCCAAGATACCAAAGGCATTTACAATAGTAAAGGTAAAGGGATCCCTGACCATTAGGTCCAGTCGTGACTGACTCTGGGGTTGCGGCGCTCATCTCGCTTTACTGGCCAAGGGAGCCGGCGTACAGCTTCCAGGTCATGTGGCCAGCATGACTGAGCTGCTTCTGGCGAACCAGAGCAGCGCACGGAAATGCCGTTTACCTTCCCGCCGGAGCGGTGCCTATTTATCTACTTGCACTGGTGTGCTTTCAAACTACTAGGTTGGCAGGAGCTGGGACCAAACAACGGGAGCTCACCCTGTCGCGGGGATTCGAACCGCCAACCTTCTGATCAGCAAGTCCTATGCTTACAGTGGTGCCTCGCAAGACGAAAAGAATCCGTTCCGCGATTCTCTTCGTCTAGCGGTTTTTTCGTCTTGCGAAGCAACCCTATTAGCGGCTAAGCGGATTAGCGCTATTAGCGGCTTAGCGGCTAAGCTGTTAAAAGGCTATTAATGGCTTAGCGGCTTTGAAAAAGGGGGGGAAAGCGGGGGGGGGTAATGGCGAGACTCGCAAGACGTTTTCGTCTTGCGAAGCAAGCCCATAGGGAAATTCGTCTTGCGAAGCGCCTCCGCAACGGAAAACCCTTTCGTCTTGCAGGTTTTTCGTCTTGCGGGGCACCACTGTATTAGTAAATCTGAGGGCTCATTTGGGGGACTGATCGGGACAGATGTAATTCGGTTGTGAGGAACCTTTGACCACCGGATGTTGCTGAACTACAACTCCCCAGCAAGCATGGTCCACGACCAAGGATGATAGGAGCTGTAGTTCAGCAATATCTGGAGGGCCACCAGCTGGTGTATTCTAATGAATAAAATAGTAGTGGGTGCCCCTTCTAGGGGCAGGGACGTCGATCCTACGGTGGCCACAAACATCCCAAGACACCCTTCTCCACTTTGAACCCAGCTACTTTCTCTGGAGTAGAAATGCCGGCCATTCCTGGCCAATGCAGTCCCAGTTTCTGCATTTCTTCTGCTACGCATTTCTTCCACCTTCTCCGCATCAAGCAGTTGGTCCCTTACCTTTCCCGCCCTGACCTGGCCACAGTGATCCATGCGACGGTCACCTCCAGGCTTGACTACTGTAATTCTCTCTACGCGGGGCTGCCCTTGAAGCTGACCCAGAAACTCCAGCGGGTGCAGAATGCTGCGGCGAGGCTCCTCACGGGGTCTCTGCCATGGGAGCATATTCACCCAGTGCTTTTCTAGCTGCACTGGCTCCTGGTGGAGTACAGGGTCAGATTTAAGGTGCTGGTTTTGACCTTTAAAGCCCTTCACGGCCTGGGACCCTCGTACCTACGGGACCGCCTCTCCCGGTATGCCTGCGGAGGACCTTAAGGTCCATAAATAGCAACACCCTAGAGGTCCCGGGCCCTAAGGAAGTCAGATTAGCCTCAACCAGAGCCAGGGCCTTCTCAACACTGGCTCCGGCCTGGTGGAACGCTCTGCCTCATGAGACCAGGGCATTTCGAGATTTGATTTCTTTCCGCAGGGCCTGTAAGACAGAGTTGTTCCGCCTGGCCTTTGGCTTGGAGCCAATTTTATTCCCTCCTCCTCTTTCGTTCTTTTTTCTTTTCCTTTCTGCTCCTGCGATGAGGCTACATTTTAATATTTTAATGTTTCAATATTTTAATTGTTGTATTTTAATCTTGTTTTTAAGTTGTATTCATTCAACTTGTTTTTATTATTGCTTGTTAGCCGCCCTGAGCCCGGCCTTGGCTGGGGAGGGCGGGGTATAAATAAAAATTATTATTATTATTATTATTATTATTACTCCCGCTGCCTCGGCGACGGGCAGCAAGGGAAGGAAACCCCTTGCCTCGCAAAGCTCTGCCACCAGAGGCGGCCGCCGTCTCGACTGACCTGCAGAAAGCAAAGATCCACCAGTACAGGCCGCTGTCCCACTGTTCAAAGAGGAAGAAGAGCAACGTGACGGAGGCAGAGGCGTGGGCGCCTGTGGCTGGAGCGGAAAGGAGGCTCAGTCAGGGAGCAACAACACAGGAAGGGCAAGAACCCCCTCGAGTCCTCCTGGGGCAGCTGTGGGGCATCAGGGCTGGCCTACACAGGGGACGGCAACAACCCAGAACTTCCGCGTTCCCACGCGGGAACTGCTTACCAGTGTTCTTCAGCCTTGCATCTCCAGATGTTGTAGGACTACAACTCCCATCGTCCACTGCTAGCTTAGCCAGTGGGTCAGGGATGATGGGCATTGTAGTCCTACAACATCGGGGGACGCAAGGCTGAAGAATGCTGTCTGACGGACTTAGGCGTAAGTGCTTTCGCAAAGCGGCCAGGAGCGGGCACCCAATGGGCCTCAGCGCCTTCTGATGCTCACCTGCACGAGATAACATGGGCATCTGAGTTCAGTTTTTTTAAGCTCTCAGATTCAGCTCCCTCACTTTGCAGGACTGATGAGTCCAAGTTGCCCTCTCTGTGGCTTCCCTCCGCCACCCACCCCACAAAGACCCCCACGTAACCTACGTCCAGTCTGTCCCCTTTTCAAAGGATACAAAGGAGGCTCTGCACATTGTTGAACATGGACACTCCAGACAGAAAGCCAGCCAACTCCACCGCAAAAAGCCCGAGCGTCACCGACAGGGCAACCACCATCCTGAAGGGAGGAAAACCACAGGGAGGGTTACGTCTTGTGTCTCTAGAAAACCGGAAATTCTTTCCTGAGCCCAATTACAGTGGTACCTCTGGTTGCGATACCTCTGGTTGCAGAGGCCTGTTCGCAACATGAAAAGAGCGCAACCCGCAGTGGCGCGTCTGTGCACGCGCGGGTTACAATTCGCCACTTCTGCACATGTGCGTGACGTCATTTTGCGAGTCTGCGCAAGTGGCGAAACCCGGAAGTAACCCTTTCCGGTACTTCCAGGTCACTGCGGGACGTAACCTGAAGCAAATGTAACATGAGGTATGACTGTACAGTAATCGGTATCTCTCTCCCCACCCAGCTCCCCAATCCTCTCTCTCTCTCTCTCTCTCTCTCTCTCACACACACACACACACACACACAATATTTGTTGCTGACATCCGTCTGTCTCAGGAGAAAATGGAGGACTGCACCTTTGGCGGTCAAGTCAAACTACTGGAAGGTTACAGCGCCTGTTGTGGCTGTAGAGACCAATGGAGGAGAGACATGTTTTATTGCAGGTGGGGCAGATGAAGGCATCCAACTGTGCCGATGTAGATGCATCACAGTGTTCTTCCTCTCTGCGCTCCTCCCAGCAGTCATTCCTCCACAAACAGAGAGAATAGGCAAGCCACAAAGCCAGAGGCCTCTGACTGCTGCTTGGACCACAGCTTCTATCAATCCCAGCCAGCACGGGCAATGGTCATGGATGATTTGGGACTTGTTAAGTAGAAAGCAAGCAAGCAATAAAAGACGGGTAGGATAGAGGTTTATAAAATTATGGTGTCATGCATTGGCCGGGAATCGAACCCGGGCCTCCCGCGTGGCAGGCGAGAATTCTACCACTGAACCACCAATGCAATACGATCGGGCCTGGAATTTCTTAGCAAATATGCCAAGCATGAAGGACATTAGAGCCCTAGGCAAACACAAGCTCCTCTTGATGGCTAATTGTCTGGAATTTCCCACTGCAAAAAATATATAATTGGCCCATCTTTTTGCCTGCCTTTATTTTTTAAACCCTCCACTACCTTTAAAAAAAGCAGAAGCCTTTCCCTCGAGTGCACATTTAAAGCACCATCAGCTTTGGCAGCAGAGGCAACAGACTGATCCGTGGCCAACTTTGTCAGTCCTCGGATGAGAAGAGGCAGCCGATAATCAGCTCCAGCAGCAGCCCTGCTCCTTCTCTTCTCACGCCATCCCCTCCACCCCTTCAGGGCTTTAATCTAAACCTGGATTTACGGCTGCTGTCAGCTAGGTGGAGCAGTGGCCACATCTGCTGTGAAGACAGCAATCTCCCAACCCTTTTGCGGGACAGAGAGGTGCCATTATCTGGTGCTGTGCTGTTTCTCTTGTATGTTTTAAACAGATTTTTAATATGTATATGGTCTGAATTCTATCGGTGTCCTTAATGATTACTTTTTCTACGTTTTCAGCGGTTCTCGTTTATAATCTGAAAAGGTTCGGGTATAAATAAATACGGCATCAGCGTCATCCAGCGGTTGACGTTTGCTAGATGATGAAAAACATGAGGAGCTGGGAGACATCAGCACTCTCAGCAGCTACAGAGACAGAAGGGCGGTGGAACAGCAATGTGACATTACACACACAAACACACAGAGCTTTCACCATTATTATTTGCACACCTTGCAAGCACAGATTCATAAATCCACATTTCAAAAGGAAACCTTTCAGAGGAACAGGGCAGAGGAAGGCGGGGAACACATATTTTTCTGTCTTTAACAGCTTGCTTTTAGGGGCTGTTAATATACATATTTTCCTAATATTTATATCCCACCTTTCTGAAAACAATCAACGTGCCTTACAAATAAAACAGAGCAAAGCAACACTCAGAGAATCTGAAAACGTAACAACTGGGGCAACCCAGTCAGACGGGTGGGGTATAAGTAGCAGATTACTATTAATAATATTATTATTAACAAGCTTTAAAAGATGCAGCGGGATCTAAGTCCTTATTTTTAATGCATGTTCTGGAAAAGCCTACAAAAATAAATCAGCGTATTTCTCTTGGGAGCCTGTTTCAAGTTATGGCCACTGCAACCAAAAACATTTTTAAAAGCATAAAAAAATGAAGAACAGCAGAGGTACACAGAGAAGGGCTGTAGCAGAGAAAGTCCCAGGCAGAGCACTTACTCCGTGTCTTGGTTCTCAAACTCCTCCTGGGTGCACTGGAGAGGCAGGGATGCGCGGACATTGTTTTCCTGGATTGCGGAAGACAGAGAAACCACTGTTTGGGCCATGCATTCACCCATCACAAGAATAAGGTAGCAGTAGCCTCATAACCTCTTTACTACTGCACCAGCTCCATTATGCTTTATCTATTTTGTATTTATTTACACCTTTCCTCCCACGAGACACTTGCTCTCAGGCGGCCATATTTAACAGCGCCAGGCAAACTGCCCGTCTTGCGCAAAGGCTGGAATTGGGGTCTTATTTTTGTTGACGCTTACTGTATTTTTCGCTCTATAGGACGCGCCCGACCATAAGACGCACCTAGTTTTAGAGGGGGGAGAACAAGAAGAAAAAAATTTTCCCCCTCTCTGCTCAGCGCCCCTTCAGCGAAGCGGCAGGAGAAACGGAGCCCCTTCCATTTCTCCTCCCGCTTCCCTGAAGGGGCGCTGCGCAGAGAGGGAAAGCTGTGCAGCGCCTCTCCGGCGAAGCCAGGAGAGCAAGAGGGGTCGGTGCGCACTGACCCCTCTCGCTCTCCAGGCTTCAGCGAAAGCAACGCTGCACTCCGGAGGCTTCGCATTGCTTTCACTGAAGCCATGGAGCCTGCATACGCTCCATAAGACGCACACACATTTCCCCTTAATTTTCGGAGGGGGAAAAGTGTGTCTTATAGAGCGAAAAATACGGTACTTGTGGGAGACAGATCTTCTTTGGAAAGCATAAGGCCCATCACACCGTTAAAAAAAGAAATAGGAGCATGTTGAGAAGGGGAAGGGATGGAGTTTGGAGTTTCTCACCCTGGACCAGAAGATGGTGATGACGATGACCAAATGGGCCGTGAGGGTCAGGAATCGTGAGGGAACCAGTCCGGTGACCAAAGGCATTGTCTCTCCCAGCACCCAAAAGTTGAGAAATCCTGGCAGTAAAAGACGAGAGAGGCAGGGACATCAGTAGGAACCCAAGAGCCTGGCTGCTGAAGTGTGTGTGTGTGTGTTAGTCTAGCATCCATTTCTGACAGTGGCTAACCAGATACCTACAGGAAACCCACAAACAAGACCCTGTTCAGAGGCAGAAAGCCTTCATGACTAGTAGCCACTGATAGCTTTACAATCCTCCATGAATTTGAATCCTCTTTCAAAGCCATCCAATATGATGGCCGTCACCGTCTCTTGTGGGAGCAGATTCTACCGTTTACGTGCTAGGTGAAGAAAATACGGGTTTAGCAACAGAGAGTGCCGTAATAATAATAATTTTTTATTTATACCCCGCCCTTCCCGATTCAGAAACTGGGCTCAGGGTCAGCTAACAACAAATTTAAAACACTTAATTGTAAAAGCAGCATAAAATACAATATAAAAACATGAATAAGAATAAAATTCAAAGTTCAGAAATCAATTTAGGGGAAATCCATATAATAAGCATTAGATAATCATCAGGGCTAGATGGCTGAATTAGTTCTGCTTGGGCCAGCGAGGAGGCCAGGGGAGAATTAGCTGTGGGGTCTCAGAGCGGGTAATCTTCATAAAAGGGGAGTGGGAGGGAAGAGAAGGGAAATAAAAGATCAGGCTGGATTCAAATTAAAGGCCAGGTGGAATAGCTCTGTCTTACAGGCACGGCGGAAGGAGGTTAAATCCTGAAGGGCCCTGGTCTCATGGGACAGAGCATTCCACTAGGTCGGAGCCAGCACTGAAAAGGCCCTGGCCCTGGTAGAGGATAGTCTGACTTCCTTAGGGCCTGGGACCTCTAAACTATGGCTATTCATGGACCTTAAGGTCCTCTGCGGGGCAGACCAGGAGAGGCGGTCGCATAAATACAAAATCAATTCATTCATTCTTTGACAAAAGAGAGAAAGATATCATCCTTTGTTTGACCCCACCATGCAGAACAGGGGTAGCCAACATGTGCCCTCCAGATGTGGGTGGACTCCAACTCCCATCAGCCCCAGCCGGCATGGCCAAATGTTCAGGGATGCTGGGAGGAGTCCACAAGCATCTGGAGGGTAACGCATTTTCTGCCCCCGATTTAATACGTCCCATCTGTGAACAAAGCAAATGTTAAGCACTAAAATGGTCCATGAGCAGCACAAAATTAGATCCACAAACCTCAATTGCAGCAAACGACAATAAAATATGAACTTGCTGCAATGCAGCAAACAAAACCAGTTTTCCACCAGCCACCATGAAAACATAGGTTGTGTTTCCCCCCTGTTCTATGCGGTTTTTGTAAACAGTGCCTCGCCAAGAACATAAAACTGTATTTTAAAAGCGGCAAAACTTTTACAGAGACCAGGGCCCTGCGGGATCTGATCTCTTTCCCCAGGGCCTGTAAGACAGAGTTGTTCCGCCTGGCCTTTTGGCTTAGAATCAGTTTGATTCCCTCCCCCTCTTTCTTTTTCCTTTCTCCTCCTATGAAGAGATTGCATCCTAATGTTTTAATGTTGTATCGCAATCTTTTAAATTGTATTTTAATCAACTTATTATTATTGGTTGTTAGCCGCCCTGAGCCCGGTCTTGGCTGGGGAGGGCGGGGTATAAATAAATAATTTTTTTATTATTATTATTATTATTATTATTATTATTATTATTATTATTATTACAAGCAATCTAAAACCCTTTAAAAAGTTGGGGTGGGAGGGTGAGGGGTCCACCCTGCTCGCACCAGAAAGAGGTCATACACTCCCCCCCCCAATCACCTCCTTAATTGATTAGACACCAAAAGAGGTGCAAAGAGGGTCGCACGACCCTCGCCCCATGTCAGGCAGGCACAAATGCGCATGCGCCCTTAATCCCGCCTCAAACAATTGATTTGAAAAACGACAGAGCCAGAGCAGTTAGAGGCCCCCCCCCCCGAATTTCGCCTACAACAACCATGTCAAGCCTTCCCCCACTGCACCCCCGTCTCCCGCCAACCATTTCGGCCCCAAGCTCGATATACGCGAGCGCCGCATACCGCCCCTCGGGCTCAGGGCCTCGCCGTTAGGCCTCGCCGTTGCCCCTGACAACCGCTTCGGAAGCCTCGAAGCTTCTTTTTCCTATCGCGAGAGCTTGACATCACGGGCGAGTCTGAGCCGGCCATTTTGCCTGCGGGCAAAGAGGCTGTCGGCTTAACCCTTTACTTGCCGTATTGTTCTCACCAGCTTTTCTGAACCCGCTCGGGGAAAAAGTCGGTTTCCCCTCGCCGCTGCCGCGACTACGAATATATGTGATAGATTTAGGGCAGGAGCTTAAAAACCACTCACATATCCAAAGGGGGATGAAATGAAGCATGATGCTGCATTGCAAAGCAGCCAAGTCCTTTACGTATTGTTATTTTCCCCCTTTTCTATGGACCCCCCAATGGCCCAGGGGATAATAGTAAACGCAGGAAAATGCCAGCTTCTGAATATTTGTAATCATTTTTATCTGCAGCTGTTTTCCCTCTTGCTTAGACATTTTGCAAACCATAGCAGCTCATTTTCCCCTTGCAAAACTTGTCAGAAAAAAATAAAGAAAGAAAAGAAAGAAAGGGGAAAAGGCGATCCAACGAATTTTATTCCCAACACCGATTATCTACTTTTGGATATGGTAATAGCAGCGGTTATACGGAGCTGTGATGGCCGAGTGGTTAAGGCGTTGGACTTGAAATCCAATGGGGACTCCCTGCGTAGGTTCGAATCCTGCTCACAGCGTGCTTATTTTGCGCGGGGTTTGGCTAGCAGAATCCCATTTAAACCGCTCATCTTTCTCCTCTCCCTCCCTCCATCTGGAAGAGTAGACGGCCAACAAGCTCCGCCGATGCGAATTCGCTACCACTCATAATTATTAGCCCACGTTTCCGCTCTCATTTTCGCAGGTGGTTGAAAAGGGGGTGCTTTTTCATTGCATCTTGCTAGATTATATATATCAACGGGTGTCACTGTCCCCCACCCAGATTCCATGCAGTAGGACAAACACACGCAAAGAGAAAGCAAAATAAAAAAGCAGAAAAAGCAAAGCTGGAAAACTCCAGCCTTGGAAATTCATCACCCCCAACCGGCTTGTTTGCTAGATTACAGTATTTCTAGCAAAGCAGCAGCTGCAACGCATCTGGCGTCTCATTGCAAACCGCGTAAGCCCCCAAACTTCGAGCGGGAATTTTCTTTAACCGATTCACGTATTTTGATTTTTGGGAAACACCCGGAAGGAGAAGCAGCTCCCCTGCCTTTTATTTTTTTAAATTACGATTATTGTTGGAGCGCAAGCAAAAACACCTGGAGATGCCGGGGATTGAACCCGGGGCCTCGTACATGCGAAGCACGCGCTCTACCACTGAGCTACATCCCCCTCCGGCCTCTTGCAGCTTCCGATGACGCCTCTTTGTACTGACAATCTGCAGCCGTCATTGCAACCTACGGATCGTCTGCCCTTTGCACAAAGCAGGGGAACTAACGATATCTTCAACTCTTATATCCGCCACCCGCCCCTTCCTCTACATTTGCGTCCAGAAATCATTTTGTTTTACCCAGCAAAAGGCGGAGAGGAGGCCCTGAGCAAGTGCAGAGCGCCCCCTGAACAGGGTTGTGTCGCGCGTGCAACGAAATGGTCATCTTGCAACGGTGCATTGCACGTTTGCAGCCCTCTAGCTGCACGCAATAATTTCCCACGTGAATGAGAACACGTAAATAATTCTTCCACTGCCCGATCTCGCTTTTAAGAGTTTCCAGCCGTCTAGCAACTACTTCCAGAAAAGAGCCGAACTGGATTTTTTGTTTTGTTTGCATCTATACATAGTGAGATTACAGAGCGGGCAGCCCGTTTGCCAAGTGGCGCCGTGGCTTAGTTGGTTAAAGCGCCTGTCTAGTAAACAGGAGATCCTGGGTTCGAATCCCAGCGGTGCCTTTTTCTTTTTTTAAAAAATTCTCCAGTTCCAAACCTCCCCAATATCCCAAATTATACTGCTTTAAAACAAGCAAAGTTTAAAAAGCACGGCGTGCATGCAAAAATAAAATACGCAACAGCATTTCATGCTTTCTAACCATCCTTTCGCATTGCATGCTATTGCAGGCCCGTCTTGCAAGGAAAACAGCAACAACAACTTCTGAGTCTGCTTTGACGATCGCCTGAAGCCGAGTGGAGCGATCGACTAGGAATTTTTAAATCCCCTCCTCCTTTCTCCACCAGACAGTTGTCGAGCTTTAAAAAAAGCAAACATAACCAGGATTCAAACCCGCAGAGCTGAAAGGAAGGAATTTGCCTGCGATGCACACTTTGCCTGGGAGCTACTCGGCGAGGAAAATAATGCAAGGTTGGGACTGTGGCCGTGGGGAAAATATTTTGGGGACAGAAAAAGACACTGAGAAAGGAAGAGGGGGAAAAATGCAAGTTGCATTGGCCGGGAATCGAACCCGGGCCTCCCGCGTGGCAGGCGAGAATTCTACCACTGAACCACCAATGCCATCCGCGGGAAAGATTTTTCCCGAAGCATCTATAAGATCGCTCTCGCCGTCTGCAACAGTTCACAGCTGCATTCTGCGTTTTGAATTGCAGAGCATGTAAAGGAGTGAGCAGGAAGTGGATCTGCGGGTGGATCTCTGGGTGCGCCCCCTTTAAAGCAACAAGCAACAGAATGGCTCCCGCCCCGCCCACCTGCCTCCCCATAATTGTGACAATTGAAGATGATTCGGGGTAACCAGAAAGAGGCATTTGCCTGGGAGGGCTGTGAACTCTGCTTGCTTCAGACGCAGTGCACAAATCAGCAAATTTTTAATCCTAAATGCATGTCTTTTGCACAAAAGCTCTGATTGATGGATCTCAGGACAGAGGTTAAAATGAGATTCTGTGCGTCTTTTTGAATCCCTGTGTGGCGGACCCTCTCCACTAGCCTTGGGCAGAGACTAACTCTGCCTTAAGGAACTGGTGCCCCAGCCCCAAGGTGTCGATGGACTACAACTCCCATCATGCTGGCCTGGGCTGATGGGACTTGGAGTCCAACAGCATCTGTCCACAGCGCCTCTCCACCACCGCTAACCCTCTCCCTTTGGGGAATTTGCCAGAGACTACTGCAGCCATCACCCACCCATCCAGATGTTTCGGACTACAACTCCCATCAGCCCCTGACTGTGTGGTGCTGGAAGGCGAGAGGTTGGTGAGCTGATTCCACGGAGAACGAGTGAATTTTGCAGTGTTGTGATATGTGGGATGGACCGCTCAGTGCATGGAAGTATTGGGAAGTTTTAATGTTTGGTGTTTTGCAATGCTTTTATAATTTGTTGGAAGCCGCCCAGAGTGGGTGGGGTACAAATATTATTATTATTATTATTATTATTATTATTATTATTAAAGCAGATAAGACCAGGACATTCCTCTGTCTTAAAACACCCGCCCTACATAGAAAATGAAGGCACTTCTTTTACACACATTTTTTTTTCTTTTTTTGGTATCAGAGAGAAAACCATTTATTTAAAAATCAAGCCAGGATCCAGAAAAATTCTGCCTTGGGGTTCTTCAAAAAGAAAAGCAGCCCTCCACTCTACATAAATTCAGCAGACAAGAACATCTTAAGGAAAAGAAAACACCTCACCAATTTCCCCCACCACCCCGTTGCTGGATTAGGCCACTCCAGGCATACGATCCCACAGTTATAGTCCAGGTTCATTGCATTGCAGGGGACTGATCCCTTTCCAACTCTATTATTCGGCCTAATTATGAGATGTCAAAGGGCATTCTTTGTCAATCAGTACAGGGAAAGGAAGGGAATCGACCACCACCCCAGAAAAGAGAGGTCCCATCCCAAAAAAACACCACCACATTTGACAACATAAAACCCATAATATACAATATATAGAGAATCTAATATAAATTTACGAGGAGGCGGGAATCTACCACCACCCCACAAAAGAGAGGCCCCATCCAAAATCAACAACACCACATTCGACAACATAAAACCCATAATATACAATATATAGAGAATCTAATATAAATTTACAAGGGGGTTTTAGAGGGGGGAGGACCCTTCAAGGCCAGGGCCTCCATACGTTCAGCGCCTGCGGGGACTGCGGCGAGGAGTTCCGCGTTTCCGAGAGTTTGTTCTGCTGCGCCCTGCTGCAGCTGCCCTGCTGGGCCGACCCCCCGAGTCGGGCCTGCAGTCCTTGGCTGGCCTGGTAGGTGGAGGAAGGCGGGTGCAGGACATAGGGGGTCCCACCGAGCGGAGGGCTACACCCGGCGAAGACATCTGGGCTGTACCGCTGCTGCAGGTCGTAGCCGGGGGTGGGGGCGGCCGGTGGGGGCCGGTGGACTTCCCTCCGTGGGCTGGCTGTGATCTTCTCCATGCAGTGGCAGATGTGCTCCATCAGGTAGGCCTTTTTCCCCGTGCAGATCCCCGGACTGGCCCGGAGGAAGTGGGTGGCTTGGGTCAGGCACTCCCGGTAGCCGCTGTGGTACCTCTGCAGGAGGGCATCTTCCTTGTGTTTCGTCTCTGTGGTGTATGCAGCAAGAAGGGTGGAATAAAGAAAAAGAGAGAGGAAAGAGAAATGACGACAGTTTAGAGATCCGCTGGGCAACTTGCAAGCACAGCTCTCAGGGTCCCAGATTGGCAGGGCGGCCCCTGAAAGCAGGTTATTTGGTTTCCCTTCCTTTCCTTTTTTTTTTTTAAGAGAGAGAGAGAAATCCCAGACCATTGGAGACCATGTTGAGGACAGAAATCACCGTTATGTAAAAGGGCCTTGAGAGGTGGGGCCCAGAAATTCAGCACAAACCTTCGTCTTTATGGGTTTGCTAACCCACAAACCTAGAAAGCATCTTAAAAAGCAGAGACATCCCCTTGCCAACAAAGGTCCGTATAGTTAAAGCTATGGTTTCCCCAGTCGTGATGTATGGAAGTGAGAGCTGGACCCTAAAGAAGGCTGATCGCCGAAGAATGGATGCTTTTGAATTCTGGTGCTGGAGGAGACTCTTGAGAGTCCCCTGTACTGCAAGAAGATCAAACCTCTCCATTCTGAAGGAAATCAGCCCTGAGTGCTCACTGGAAGGACAGATCCTGAAGCTGAGGCTCCAGTACTTTGGCCACCTCATGAGAAGAGAAGACTCCCTGGAAAAGACCCTGATGTTGGGAAAGATGGAGGGCACAAGGAGAAGGGGACGACAGAGGACAAGATGGTTGGATAGTGTTCTCGAAGCTACCAGCATGAGTTTGACCAAACTGTGGCAGTGGAAGACAGGAGTGCCTGGCGTGCTCTGGTCCAGGGGGTCACGAAGAGTCGGACACAACTAAATGACTAAACAATTAAACAACAACAGGAATACAGTGGTACCTCGGGTTACATACACTTCAGATTACAGACTCCGCTAACCCAGAAATATTACCTCGGGTTAAGAACTTTGCATCAGGATGAGAACAGAAATCGTGCTCCGGCGGCGTGGTGGCAGCAGCAGGCCCCATTAGCTAAAGTGGTGCTTCAGGTTAAGAACAGTTTCAGGAACGGACCTCCGGAACGAATTAAGTACTTAACCCGAGGTACCACTGTATGGCAAAAGGCTTTGTTGTTCCAATGGTCCATCTAGCTTAGTAGTGGCTGGCAGCAGCTCTCCAGGGTTTTGAGCCATAAGTCTCCTCCCTGCCGTACCTGGAATTCGAACTCGGGACCGTCTGCATGCAAGGCGGAATATCTGCCGCTCAGCTACAGCCCTTGCCCGACACTGAGGTACAGCGCCGAGGGCCTTCTGGCGGTGCCCTCCCTGCGAGAAGCAAAGCTACAGGGAACCGGGCAGAGGGCCTTCTCGGTGGTGGCGCCTGCCCTGTGGAACGCCCTCCCACCAGATGTCAAGGAAATAAACAACTACCTGACATTTAGAAGACATCTGAAGGCAGCCCTGTTCAGGGAAGTTTTTAATGTGTGACATTTTAGTGTATTTTGAATCTATGTTGGAAGCCGCCCAGAGTGGCTGGGGAAGCCCAGCCAGGTGGGCGGGGTACAAATAATAAATTATTATTATTATTATTATTATTATTATTATTATTATCCGCACCAGAAATGTCAACCACCTTGGAGAGTGATGCGGAAGGGAGGCCCAGAGACCCATTAAAATATGCACATACATTATATAGGATTTCCAAGAGGTTTCCCCAGTGCTGGGGGCCTGTTTCCTCGTGGTAAAGGTAAAGGTACCCCTGCCCGTACGGGCCAGTCTTGACAGACTCTGGGGTTGTGCGCCCATCTCACTCAAGAGGCCAGGGGCCAGCGCTGTCTAGAGACACTTCCGGGTCACGTGGCCAGCGTGACAAAGCTGCATCTGGCGAGCCAGCGCAGCACACGGAAACGCCGTTTACCTTCCCGCCAGTAAGCGGTCCCTATTTATCTATTTGCACCCGGGGGTGCTTTCGAACTGCTAGGTTGGCAGGCGCTGGGACCGAACGACGGGAGCGCACCCCGCCGCGGGGATTCGAACCGCCGACCATACGATCGGCAAGCCCTAGGCGCTGAGGCTTTTACCCACAGCGCCACCCTCGTGGTACCTGTGCCTTAAACAGTTAGACGGGAAGCTGTAATTCAGGAGAGGGCATATTGCTACACCTCTGTGCCGGGGAAATATTCTCTCCAATGGATTGATTGACAGCTGTAGTTCAAAACATCTGATTATGGCAGGGCCCGATGGATCTAGCTGGTGTGCCTCACAGCCAGCCCAGAATTCCACACAGGGATTCTGCAACCCCTCACCCACGCATCAGAGCTCTTTTGAAACAACAGGATATGGAGTTGACTGACCCACCATACATTTAAAGCACATGGCTTCATCCCCCCACGTGCCCCCTAAAATATCCTGGAGTCTGTAGTTCACCCCCCCCCCACAGAACAGCAATTCCCAGCACCCTTTGCAAACTACAGTTTCCAGGATTCCTTGGGAAAAGGGTGGTGCTTTAAATGCCTAATGTGCAAACCGCTTGACAACCTTCATTGAGTGCCAGATTTCCAAATAGGCACAGAAGGCACCGGTTTATGGGCCTTTTAGAGGAGCTGCGATGATGGATCAAAATAATACTGATTTGATCATGGAAGAAAATTACAATCAAGCCAAGCAGAAGCTTCAAAAGGGTCTCTCAAGATTTTTACTGACCTAGGGGCTTCCTCAGGGCAAATTCAACTACTAGGAAGTTAAACCTGTTTCAAAAAAAAAACCTGGGGAGACTGTTATTCCACACCTAAGTCCCTCGCTCCCTTTCCCGAAAAGCCTTTCCATTTCTCCGGAGGGTTCTTTTCTAAAGTAGCGACAATAATAAAAGTAATACATAATAATAACAACAACAATAATAAAATAAATAATAAAACAACGATACAAGAAACGTTATACCTGATAAAGGCTGTGTCTTCAAAAACTGAACTGTTTTTTGCAAAATTTCTGCCTTTTCCACTTTGGGGTTTTTAAGTCTCTGCAGGGGGAGAAAAAAACAAGACAAAAGAAGAGGGTGGGAGAAAAAAACGGGGAAGGAAAGTAGGGGTGAAAATAAAATATTCTTTGTTTGATTTGCAGGGGGCGGGTTGGGACTCTAAAACAGAAGGCGGGCGTAGAGAGAGTTAGGCTTCAGCTAGCTGGGTCTCAAACTCTTGGTGAGTTAGGGACCTGCGGAAAGGCAGGCTCCAGGCCCAACCTCCACAGCCTTGCAGGATATCTTCAGGAGAAGAAAAGGCTCCGGAGTAAACCCTACACAAATCCGGAGTGGAGTCCCTAAAACTGTTGGATGGAGCCTTGTTTGCCTCCTTCTGGCAACTCCTGCAGCCAAGCTGGTGCCAAATGTCTTGCTCTGTTTTCTTTTGGACCACATCAGCCAAGCCGAGGGGGGGGGGTCTTGTCATCTGGGCACCCGGGACCTCCAGACACACACACTGCCCAGGCTTGCGCACTTCGGTGCTGCAACGCAGCGTTTGGCTTCACCCCCGGAGGCACACTCCATTGTCTCCCCGGACAGACGGATGCCAGCGACAACAACAAACCAAAGCCCTGGATTCACAGCACATTCCCACCCCACTCCCCAAAGAATCCTGGGAACCATCCTTTCCCTCCCACCCATCCCTTCGGAACTACAATTCCCAGCACCCGGTACGAACTACAATTCCCAGGCTTCCTTGAGTGGGTGCTTTAAAAATGTGCTGTATGTGAGCAGTCTGAGAGAGGGAGAGATGGGGCCACTTCCCTTTCCAAAGAATCCTGGGGACCATCGTTCCCCCCGGCAGAACTCCAATTCCCAGCACCCAGTACGAACTACAATTCCCAGGCTTCCTGGAGTGGGTGCTTTAAATGTGCTGCAGCTAAGCAGCCCGAGAGAGGGAGAGATGGGGCCACTCCCCTTCCCAAAAAATCCTGGGAACCATCGTTTCCCTCCCTGCAAAACTTCAATTCCCAGCACCCAGTACGAACTACAGTTCCCAGGCTTCCTTGAGCGGGCGCTTTAAAAATGTGCTGCATGTGAGCAGCCCGAGAGAGGGGGAGATGGGTCCATTGCCCTTACCTCGTCCTGGGTGGCTTCGAAAAGCAAGACCCGGAGCCGGTCGAGGCTTTGATTCATCCTGTCCCGGCGCCTCTTCTCCATCAGGGGCTTCAGCAGCTGCAGAAAGAGAGAGGTTGTGGGGCAGGAGGGGCAGGCCAGGCGGTGGGGAAGGAGCAGAGGCGTGGCGGGGCAGGGAATGGAGGCGAAGGGGGGAAGAGGAAGAGAACGGAGAGAGCTTTTGAAACAGAAAAGCGGATTCCCACGCCGAGAGAGGGCCCGATTCTGCTCTGAGCTCCAGCTTCTGGTGGGGGGCAGAGTTGGAAGGGGGGGGAGGGACCCCCCAAGGTCATCCATCCCAACCCCCCCCCGCTGCCAGGCAGGGAGAAGAAGCAAGCCTCTCCACCGAGAGGGGAGTTGAGAGCAGAATCCTGCCCTCGCGGGGCCCACCTGCCAGCCAGCCAGCCCGGATGCAACTGGTACCTTCTTCTCGTCTTTGCGGTCCCACTTTTGGCTAGTCATGGTCATAACTCGCAGGAGCCAAAAGGATGGAGGATGGAGGGCTGGTCTCTCCTGCGCGCTGGGCTCTTCTTGGCTTGTGGACCCGGGAAAGAAACACGAATCCCCTCTCTTTCTCTCTCTCCTATCCCGCTCTTCAAAGGCACCGGGGTCCCTTTTATATCCTCCCTTCCCGCCCCTCCCACGCCCAGCCTCCCGCGCATCCCAACATCCCCCAATTCGAAAGGAAAGTTCGCACCTTCATCCTCCCTTTGATCTCCGCGTTCCATCCTGGGAGATGGAGCGTGTCGCGCACACTTGCAGCTTGCTAGGAGGGGGGAAAGGGAAAGTTGGGAGATTCTCCTCCTCATCTCCTTATCTCTTTCTGAGTTGAAGAGAAGAGTCCTTCTATGTTGTTGCTGTTGAGTCGTTTAGTCGTGTCCATCCATTCTTCTTTATGGTCCAGCTCTCACTTCCATACATCACTACTGGGAAAACTATAGGGACCTTTGTTGGCAAGGTGATGTCTCTGCTTTTTAAGATGCTGTCCAGGTTTGTCATTGCTTTCCTCCCAAGAAGCAGGCGTCTTTTAATTTCGTGACTGCTGTCACCATCTGCAGTGATCATGGAGCCCAAGAAAGTAAAATCTCTCACTGCCTCCATTTCTTCCCCTTCTATTTGCCAGGAGGTGATGGGACCAGTGGCCATGATCTTCGTTTTTTTGATGTTGAGCTTCAGACCATATTTTGCGCTCTCCTCTTTCACCCTCATTAAAAGGTCCTTTAATTCCTCCTCACTTTCTGTCATCAAGGTTGTGTCATCTGCATATCTGAGGTTGTTGATATTTCTTCCGGCAATCTTAATTCCGGCTAGACCATGGGTAGGCAAACTAAGGCCTGGGGGCTGGATCCGGCCCAATCGCCTTCTCAATCCGGCCCACTGACGGTTTTTACCTGAGTAGAATGTGCCCTTTTACTTAAAATGCATCTCTGGGTTATTTGTGGGACATAGTAATACGTTCCCCCCCCCTTCAAAATATAGTCCGGCTCCCCACAAGGTCTGAGGGACAGTGGACCGGCCCCCTGATGAAAAAGTTTGCTGACCCCTGGCTTAGACAACCATCTGCCAGAGGTGCTAAGGGTTGCATCCTGCCCTCAGCAAGGGACTGAGTGAGATGAGCTCCAATGTCCTTTACAACTCTGCGATTATATGACTCTAAAGTGCACACACAAAACTCACCATATTTATAGCTTTTACATCCTAGTGTCCAACACTGTAACTGTTATATGCCACACTGGTTCTCAGAAGAAACCTACAATGGTACCTCGGGTTACATACGCTTCAGGTTACAGACGCTTCAGGTTACAGAAGAACTTTGCTTCAGGATGAGAACAGAAATCGTGCTACGGCGGCAGCAGGAGGCCCCATTAGCTAAAGTGGTGCTTCAGGTTAAGAACAGTTTCAGGTTAAGAACAGACCTCTGGAACGAATGAAATACTTAACCCGAGGTACCACTGTATTTTCAAACATAAAGCATATATATTTGGGCAAAACCTGCACTCAGTTCATTTTGAAGGCAAAACACATTCCCTGACCGGGAATCGAACCCGGGCCGCGGCGGTGAGAGCGCCGAATCCTAACCACTAGACCACCAGGGAATTTGGCACCAGTATTCAACCTGATATGTCTCAACCCAGCTGTCTTACTTGTTTTGTTTCTTTGTTTATCTGTTTGTTTGTTTGTTGATATGACATTGTACAATTTATATGCCCCTTTTTTATAGACGGGAAGTGGGTGGCGCTGTGGGTTAAACCACTGAGCCTAGGGCTTGCCAATCAGAAGGTCGGCGGTTCGAATCCCCACAATGACGGGGTAAGTTCCCATTGCTCGGTCCCTGCTCCTGCCAACCTAGCAGTTCGAAAGCACGTCAAAGTGCAAGTAGATAAATAGGTACCACTCCGGCGGGAAGGTAAACGGTGTTTCCGTGCGCTGCTCTGGTTTGCCAGAAGCGGTTTAGTCCATGCTGGCCACATGACCCAGAAGCTGTATGCCGGCTCCCTCGGCCAGTAAAGCGAGATGAGCACCACAACCCCAGAGTCGTCCACGACTGGACCTAACTGTCAGGGGTCACTTAACCTTTAACTTTTTATAGGCAGAGCCCACCAAAGGCAGCCCACAGTATTCTACAGAGCACACAGAACAAAGCCACCTGAAGCAGGCTGATGGGCATGGGACTCTTAATGTCAGGGCTGTGGGTTCGAGCCCCGCGTTGAGCAAAAGATCACTGCATAGCAGGGGTTGGATTAGATGACCTCTGGGGGTCCCTTCCAACCCTACAATTCTATGAATCTATTCGATGAACCTCTGAAGGGCATCAGGATGGCCAAAGCTGATCTAAAATAATCGAAGCTGACCCAATGCAGCAACATCAACAATTACTAAAAAACAAATAAAAATAAAGCTGGTTTAAAACAGTTTGACAGAAATTAGCAGGAAGACAGCTAAACAGAGTTCTATGGTACAGATTTCTCTGCAAGCGGAAGACGCGCCTCTTTATCCCCCTGACCTCCTTTGACAGGTGAGGAGTTTAGTTTTGTGGGATCGACCTCTTTTTGCAGAGTTCTGCTCCATTTGGAATGGATCCCATGTGTCTTGTAATTCTCATGCTTTTATGTGGTGTGTGTGTGTGTGTGTGTGTGTGTGTGTATCTATCTATCTATGTAAATTCTATGGCTGTAACCCAGCCCTAACAAACCTAGACAGCATCTTAAAAAGCAGAGATATCACCTTGCCAACAAAGGTCCGTATAGTAAAAGCTATGGTTTTCCCAGTAGTGATGTATGGAAGTGAGAGCTAGACCATAAAGAAGGCTGATTGCCAAAGAATGGGTGCTTTTGAATTCTGGTGCTGGAGGAGACTCTTGAGAGTCCCATGGACTGCAAGAAGATCAAACTTCTCCATTCTGAAGGAAATCAGCCCTGAGTGCTCACTGGAAGGACAGATCCTGAAGCTGAGGCTCTAATACTTTGGCCACCTCATGAGAAGAGAAGACTCCCTGGAAAAGACCCTGATGTTGGGAAAGATGGAGGGCACAAGGAGAAGGGGACGACGGAGGATGAGATGGTTGGACAGTGTTCTCGCAGCTACGAACATGAGTTTGACCAAACTGCGGGAGGCAGTGGAAGACAGGAGTGCCAGGCGTGCTCTGGTCCAGGGGGCCACGAAGAGTCGGACACGACTAAACAACAAACCCAGCCCAAACTCATTATGGTAAACAGTGAGTTCAAAAGAAACACACAAATGAGATGAAATTCAATCTATGATATAGCAGTGTAGGTTGTTGGGGAATCCATTATGAAAAACCTGAGATCCTCTCTCTGGGTCAACAGCAAGAGGAGGAAGATGGAGCAAATACCATTGACAGGGTCTTTTTGGTGGGGGCACCAAGATCTCTGTAAAAGCCTCAACTGCGAAGCCCCACACTACTCGTCTTTAGGAGGAGTTCTTGTTGCCCTCAAGTTCTGCTTGTAGGCGTCTGATTGGCCACTGTGAAAAAAGAATGTTGGGCTAGGTTGTTCTGCCTGGCCTTTGGCTTGGAGCCAATTTGATTCCCTCCCTCCCTCTCTTTCTTTTCCTTCTCCTCCTGCGATGAGGCTACATTTTAATATTTTAATGTTCCATTATTTTAATGTTCTATTTTATTTTTGTTTTTAAGTTGTAATCATTCATCTTGTTTTTATTATTGCTTGTAAGCCGCTCTGAGCCCGGCCTTGGCTGGGGAGGGCGGGGTATAAATAAAAATTATTATTATTATTATTATTATTATTATTATTATTATTAGGTGAGTTTTTGTCCCAAGCTAGCATTAGGGATGGGCAAATTGGATAATTTTGTGTTGTTTCTCAGTTTCCCAATATTTTGTTTGGTTTTCCACAGATACATACCAGATTGTGTTGTTGTTTTTTTAAGTCACCTGAAATTTTACTGGCAAATCTATCCTAATATACAAATATTTGTATGACATCTTGTGTGTATTGTTATTATCATCATCAGCGAATTTTCGGGACAACTTCAAAAAAATAAAATCACAATCTGATATGTATCTGTGGAAAACCAAACCGAAGAATTGTGCAAAGCAATTTCCCCTAATAGAAAACATTTTTTCTCTAATATGTGTATTTATACGCATACTTTATCCTGCCGTGTGCATTTTTGTACACATTCCCTGGCTGGAGAAGTGCGTTGCAAAATTCGGAGAAATGTGAATTTCAAAGGATGGCTGTTTTTCGATTCACGGTTCTTTTCAGAAAGTGCAAATTAAGTGAGTCTGCCTTTAAATGGGAACTGAATTGAATTTATGCCCCGCTACCACCCCACACAATCCCAGCAAACATCCAGGATATTTCCTGCCAGCTTCGCCAGTTCTGCAAAGTCCGTCATCTTCGTCTTCTACTCTTCTTTCGTCAGTCCTTCTTGTTGTTTCCATTTTGGGGCTAAAATAATTCTTGCCACAGTTGTTGCATACGTAAACAGTCTTTTATCTTCCCCTGATATCTCTTCTCCCACTACACCCAGTAGAAAGGCTTTTGGCTTTTTAACAAAAGTATCTTTAAACACTTTTTTAACTCATTATATACCATTTCCCAGAAAGCCTTTACCTCTTTGCAAGTCCACCACATAACAACAACAAGGCCATTTCCACTGGGACCAAAGGATTTATTCAGCAGGGATGTTAACTTAAAAAGTCCGCCTGGAATGAGTCTGTTTAGATCAATGGAGGTGCCCCCCCTTTAATTTAGCTAACCCCTGGGGGAAAGTCCATTCATTTACTAATGTCTAGGGCTCAATTACCACAGGGATTATGCAGACACAGTATCTAATTTACAGAGGCTCCCTCTCCATCATTTGGGTAACAAATACCCCCCCCAGACTTGCATATTTTATCCTTCCCCCCAACCCAGCATCAAACAAGTTGAGTTGTGGAGAGGGGAGGCAGTTCCCTGCCATTTATTCCAAGGTCAGGACCTCAGTTATTGTCAGTCAACAACCTTCCACTTAAATTAGTAGATCAGGCTATGACAACTAATACCAGTGTACTGGAAGAAGCAAAGATCACCAGTGTTGGAGCAATGATTCTTCAACATCAACTTCGCTGGAC